CTTGTATTGGTTGTAAGAGGCCCGGGGTCTTTCTGTATGGTTGGCCCTTCCTCGCCTGACAATCTGGACACCTCTTAACGTAGTTCTCAATGTCTTTTAGCATTCCGTCCCAGAAGAACCCGTTCTATATTTTGTCTGTTGTTTCGCACAACCCTAAGTGGCCACGTATTGATGATGCATGCAGTTCCCACAGAATCTCGTCCCTCATTGATTTTGGTACCACCATTACCTTGTTGAGGCCTTTTTTATTTATTTTTTTATAAAGTAGATTCTCGATTTTAAAATATTTCGCTCTTCTCCTAGCCCCGATGTTAATATCTGAATCGTCCGGGTTTTCTACTGCCTTCCTGATCTGTTTTAACACTGGGACTCTTTTCTGCAATGAACTCATTTCCATTGTTCTTATCGCAAATGTTGGTAGTTCCTCTTGTTCCTCGCTTTCCTGTGAATAGGGTTGCAAGACTGGGTTGCGGGACATGCAATCAGCATCTTTGTGGGTCGAGCCTTTTTTGTATTCAACCGTGTACTCGAACTCTGCCAACTTCAATGCCCATCTGGCTAGACGCCTGTTGCTCTTCTTGATAGATTTCATCTAGCATAGTGCGTGGGGGTCTGTAATAATTTTCACTGGTCTACCGTAGAATAAAATGTCTTAGATAGCTTAGGGCCCATACTACACCTAATAGCTCTAACTCGCTTATTGAATAATTTTTCTCGCTATTTGATAGACTTCGACTTATACAGGGTGTTCCGAAATTAATGCACCAAATTTTTATGGCGTATTCTACGTCGAAAATAAGCCCTAGTTTCCTATATAAACATATGTCTGGAAACGCTTCCTTTCTGAGATACAGGGTGTTGGAATTCTAAGAAAAAAACTATTTTTCTATCATAATTTTCAAACCACTCTAGATATTTCATTGAAATTTTGTACACTGCTTTCAAGCAGCAAAAGACATTTTTTGATATGAAATATTTAAAAAAAAAAAATCAGTGACGTCACAGAAATAGTTTGAAACGTTAGGTGTTTAATGTTTAGCATTTTAATCATAATTTTCACGATTTCGCCATGCCCCAAAATGGTTCTTTATCTTTTATTTGAAAATGGTTCATCTTTCAGAAAAAAGTGTAGAGATCAAATTTATTCCAAATTGAATGGGAATTTCAAAAATGATTTTTATTTTAGAAAAAAGCAGTGGCGCACCATTTTTTTCTTGAAAAATATTCCATAGAAATCTGGTACGGACGTCACTGGTAATTTTTTTAAAAAATAATTTCATATCAAAAAATGTCTTTTGCTGCTTGAAAGCAGTGTACAAAATTTCAATGAAATATCTAGAGTGGTTTGAAAGTTATGATAGAAAAATAGTTTTTTTTCTTAGAATTTCAACACCCTGTATCTAGAAAAGGAAGCGTTTCCGGACATATGTTTATATAGGAAACTAGGGTTTATTTTCGACGTAGAATATGCCATAAAAATTTGGTGCAATAATTTCGGAACACCCTGTATAGTCTATTGGATGTGCATCTCTTTCATCGTCCTCTTGCAATAGCACTGCCCCAATTCCACATGCCCTTTTCGTTCACATTAAAACCCAGGATTTTCATTTCTTTTCGTAGGTACTCGTATTTGCTTGGTTTTAGAGTTAGGTTTGCCTGTCGTAATCTTTCCAAAACTTTTCTTAATTTTGCCAAGTGCTCTTCGAACGTTTGGGAGAATATTATTATGTCGTCCAGATAAATCAATACTTCCTTCCATTTCATGTCCCGAAAAACGTGGTCAGCTAATTCTTGAAAGGTTGCGGGAGCGTTACATAATCCAAAGCTGAGAACATCAAAATAGTAGACACATTGTGCTACGAATGTGGTGTACTGTTTGGAGCTATCTTCGACGGGTACCTGCCAGTATCCAAAAAACATATCAAGAGTGCTGAAACAGAATGCAATTCCGAGATATGACAGAATATCGTCGAATTGTGGTAGAGGATATTGAAGACTTCTGTGCTTCTATGGCTTGGCTTAAACAGTGTTTCTTTGCTAGGCGTGCTCGTGCCTTTGAATCGTAGATTGTATTTGTACTGTTCTTCTGACATTCGATTTATGTCTTCCTATATTTGAATTTTGATACCCTTGCGCTTTCACAAATCGATCTAATGGTACTACTTGTTTGCGGGATTTCTGTACTTTTTCTTTTTTTTTGAGTGTCTTGGCCAGGGTGTCGTGAATCTTTTTTTTGTCGACGTAACCGGGTCGTGGCATGGTGTGGGCGTTGGCTTGCTTTCAAGGCGTCGTCGGCGTCGGTTTTTGGGCGTCGGGTTCGAGACGGCACGTCCACCAAATGTCACAATTTTATCCTGTCGTGACGGGGTACATAGCGTAAGATCAGGAGGATAAAGACTCGCTTGGTATTTGATTTGGGGTATATTGTAGAGTAAGGGTTATAATAGTAATTACCAAAGGATAGCCCTGTGGTAGGTAGTGCTTCTCCTATAGAGGCACAGGGGAGCTACCTGAAAAACACAAAGCTACTACTACGGTGCGATTCGTTAAAGTAAAGGACGGTCCAGAAAGGCTTTCCCAAAAGAGGTAATTGCACTGGATGACACGAAGATCAAAGACACCCAGAGGGGCTTTCCCAAAAGGGATTATTGCACTGGGTGGGGACTTGAGGCCAGAGGAGCTTTCCCAAAAGAGGTAATTGCGCTGGTTCATGTCTGCCTAGCCGTGTGGTGCCGACTACTATTTATATTCGTTTATCTACAAGCGTGCGGTAAATAAGGTATGTTACACGATTTTGCGTGCGGTAAGTACCACATTACCGCACGGCGTGCGGTAATATTATTACCGCACGCTCCACCTACATAGGTACGTACCTTTGATTACCTAGCATAGCTAAATTACATACCTATCACCTAAATTCTACTTGTCCGCTATCAAAGGTGACAGACGCAATTTTTTTCCATATTTTTTAAAATTTCTTGCGGATATTTTGTTACCGCACGCTTGTAGATAAAATACTGTATATAATACGTATGGTAATTAGGTTATTACCGCCCTTAGAGATTGCAAACCTCGCCTCACCGGCTCGGTTTGCAAATTTCTCTTGCGTGCGGTAATAACCTAGTTACCACACTTATTATATAATATACTATTATGCAGGATCGCGCGGTAAATTCAACTTACCGCCCACATTTGCGGGCGGTGAGTTGATCTTACCGCTTGTCTCTTTTAGGAGATAAACTCGGAGATAAATCACCCAGAATTATTTATTATATTGACTTAACAACTATACCTTCATATATTAATACCAAAATCGGCGTGGATAACCATGAAAAATATAAAAGTTGTCGATTTTTGGAAGATTTGCAAATACAGAAGTTGCCAATTTTTCAGTAGAAACGCACCTTCATATAGAGGGGAAGACTGTTTATTTTTGGAAACAATGTCAAATGGATGTCATTATATAGGTATAAGTTATTTTATTTTTGAACTGGAAGAGTCCGAAGTGCAAAAAACGTTATAAGTACCTATTTTGGGCGTTAAGTGTCGTTCACCACTCTCGAATATTGAAGACCCCTCCGCTATCGTGTCGGTCTTCAAAGACTCTCGGGCGGTAGATGACACTTACCGCCCTCAATACTTAAATAACTATTATCACTGACTCGCCAATCAATGAGTCGGTCAATCATATACAGGGTCATATTTTCCTAGGTAGGTTTGCTTGTTGACGGCATCAAAAAACCGATTTAATAGTACATTATACACCTAGGGATTAAAGTGGTACTTTTAATCCCGGCCCGAGATAAAAAGTTTATAGCCCCACCGAAGGGAGGACTATAATTTGTCGAGAGATTAAAAAACACTTTGGTCCTGAGGTGTATGCACTATTTTATGTACTTTAGAGGGATTAAAAGTACACTTTTATTTCCTATTTCATTTAATCCTCGGGAAATAAAGGGTACTTTTAATCCCTATAAAGTGGACAAAAAAATTAAAATGATAATGGTGGCCAAAAGACAGAATTTCGGATTTGAGATTCGACGACCCCTACTTGTAGGGTAGAAAAGAGGGCAACGATGTCATTTATTTTTCAATACTGAGTTCAAATAAAGTCAGGAAACCGAGTAATCGATTTGGCTAAATCTCGTATATTTTTTTATTTTAGCAAGTGAGTACTGTTTGTTTCACGAGGATTTGTACTTTTGACATATTCGCCTTCCTTTTTTAACAAATAAAATTTGACTGAAACAAATCAATTAGTTTGTTCTTCTTAGACCTGATGATTTTTTCAAAATAGTTTTCACGCGTCATTGCGTAGATCAAAAGCTAACTCAAAACTAAATAAAACATTCATCACCGTATTAAAAAAAAAATTAAGCCGATGGTGGTCGACCAAAGACGAAACGTCGAATTTCAAATTTGACTAGTTATTTTGTGGAGGGGAAAAGAGCAATGATAAAGATTCATTTACTTTATAGAATCACTTCAAATAAGCTCAGGAGAAAATAAAATCGTTTTTGCGAAATTTCGAATTGTTGAGTTGTAGAGGGCGCTACTGAGGCAGAATTCTGCGGATAGAGATCGTTATTCCTAACGCTATGGCACTTGCTATCTTCTTCTCTCTTTTAGAAATCAATAGAGATAGCGAAAATATCTCTATTCGTTACAGAATCCCAGCACTGTACATGGAGCTCGTTAAATTGTGGCGCGTGAATAACCGAGTAGGTATGCATGGTTTCTGTTTTGAAAACAGAAACTACACGTCAATGCCAATGCCGATACCAATTCTGTTGCCATTGGAGGGGTAGGTAGCCAGCAAAACTCTATCAACTAATTACTTTCATTCATCTTTGTCTTCCACACACACACATTTTAAATTAACATTTTAATTTATTTTGGTGCGGATGGACGCGTCTAAAATTCTAGGCTAAAAACCGACGCTAACTTCACGGAAAATCCCGCTATCAGGTCCAGGATAATCAGATAATAAAACAACGAAATAAATATAATTATATTATTTATTGAAATATTATTTCTTAAGTTGGTTTTCTAGTGATCCTAGGATCTTCGATGCAATTATTACACGAATTTTTACAAAATCCTGGTTTGCAGAAGCATCCATAGGTTAATTCGAGGGTACAAATAGTTGAATTGCATCGGTCTGCACAAGCGTTTGATCCTCTACAAACTAAATTAGGTCCACCGCATTTAATATGCTGGCAAGGGTTTGGCTGAATAATGTTGTCGGCCGTGGCTAAAAAAATAGAATAAACACATGTAAACTCTATTCACTCCTAAAGCAGTCACAAGATAAATATTTATGCTAAAATTGCCACTGGATGAATTGACAATGCATAATGCATCAACGACCTTCCTAAGTATCTACTTATGTATCATTCTGATGAAATATAAATCCTAATTTTCGGATTGAAAAGAATAAGCTCATGCTTTACGACGTGTTGATGTCAATTCTGTAACAAGCGGCCGTTATTTTTAATGGATCTGGAATTTTGCTTTAACCTGCCTCATTAAAGATACCCATCATCTATTTAATTGCTGGAGGAGCAATAGCGTATCTCAAAGTTCACTCCCCAGCTTTTGGTATTTGATTCTAGGCGCAAAAAGAAATGATAACAAGTTTCCACATGTTGGCAAAATATTCATCATAATATTCACCATAAATTAATAGATCTATAAAACTTCTCAAAACAAATTTTAGAGAGTCTCTATTTTGAGACACCCCACTATTTGGTAATTTTTAAGTAGGAATATAAATATATAATCTAGTTCTAATAGTATTTACCTGCACAAAATATGAAACCAAAGAAAGCTATTACCGTTAAAGAATTCATTTTTACCAAGTTTAACAATACCGAATGAAATATACAAGAAAAAAAACTGCATTTTTATATCTCAAAAATTATTATTTAGATTGTAAGGTTTGTTCCAACCCGCCAACAAACCGTTCCAAGAACGGTTCCAGAACCACTCTGCACATAAATTTTACGTTTTGCGCAGAATATCCTGATGGTGAAATGTACAATTTCCTGTTGGGTTGGAACAAAGCTAATGATGTATTTGAATTACGAATTTAAATATCAGACAAATAAGGAAGTTTTGAAATTTTAAAAATAATTGTTTACGTTTAAATATTTATGAACTTGTGTTCACAAAAGGTAATTAACCTATATGAAAGGTTTTAAAAAAATCCAAACTTTGTTAGTACAAGGCGAGTTAAAATATGAACTTAATAGTTAATTCAATAAACATAAGTACATATAATATACTGAAATAATTCTAATAAAAATATTTAAATAATGGGAAACTTCATGCATCAGTTAAATAGATATGCTAATTCGGGAAATTTTTAAAAGAGGTATTGACTATAGGGATTATCCAGGATAATAATACCCAAATACACAGAGCCCAAACTAGAATCAAAACAAATTTGCAGGTTCCAAACTTTATTAACGAGCGAAAACCGGGAAAACTCGCAGCATAAATTTTACTGAACAAATTAAACTGTGTTACTCCGCATCCCGAGGGATCTTTATTTTTATGATCACGGCTGTTGCTTATTTTATCCCTACCGTACGGCATATTATGTTTTCAAATTGACTTTTGTTTTCCATGGGAACACAGCTCGTATTAGCTTCATGCCTTTTAATATTGCGTAGTTATTGCAGCATGAGTCTGATTAGTTTTTCCTCTTTGTTAGGCCAATTATTAAATATTTTTGAAGCCGTTGTAAAAACCTATCTGTATCGTATCAATTGAAAACTTCAGATGAGATTTCATCAATGGCTTCATCCCTTTCTTCCCTCAATTGCGGTAGATTATTATCAAAAGCTATGAGGAACAAGAGTGAGACTCTCCAGACGGCATATACTAAATCACTTGGCATCACGGATTTCCTGGTGCATCTGCTAATAGTTATATGTATACCAAGGCCGCGAAATGTCTTTTCAGCGTACGTAGAGAAAAGTTATAGCCGAGGCTGCTTGCGGCCGAGGTAATCTCGAGGAAGCTTAATCGTTTCGCTGTCATAGTATGCATACTATTTTTTGTGCAACTATAAAAATTATTTAAACTTACAGAAAAACTGCATGGATTTGACACATCTTGCACATAAGGTGTGGCGGCCGCGAAATTGAATTTCGCGGACTGTGTGGCGGCCGTGAAAGCTCATTTCGCGGACGGTTGCACAAACATTATTTTATTACGCACTATGTCCGAGTCTGTGGCTATCTTGTCCACATCATTTTCGGTTTCGTATTCTTCTTGCTGTTCGCTCAATGCGAATTTCATGATTAAAGTCTTCGTCCGGAACTTTATTGAGTAGGCAATCTTTTGTCAATTGGGTCGGCAAAAACTTGTGTCCTCATCTGTGGCAAGATTTTCTCCTCGCTTCTGAATTACTTCTGAATATTTTATCAAGAGTAACTGCTGTCTACCCTCCAAGGAACCTGGACATTAGTGGCGGGGCCCAGCGACTGGTTATATGGGTTCACAGGCTAGTGGTTGCTAAGGACAACTCAACAAAGCCGCAGGGGCTCACACCTGGTGAGTACGGGACCTGGCATTTCCTGAGGCACCCTAGCTGAATCAAGACACTGCTTCAACTTGTCTGGCGTTTGATCCTTTACTTTTCTGTTTCCCAAAGCGATCTCCCTTGGTCAACTCTTCTTTCATGCTCCTTTCCGACTATTCTCTCTTTCTCTCTCTGCCAAGTCAAGGTGAAAGGCAACGTGCTTAGGACTAGATGGTCACTGGGACAATTGTGAGCTCGAACGTTCCCCCGGGGGTACAGCCAGCGCCCCCTGTATTCCATGCCTTACCTAACCATGCGGGGCTCTGGCTGGGTGGGCCTTTATTTCTCTAGCTCCTCGTGGGATCAAGTATGAGTACAAACATTGACAATCCAAATCCAAATAAACAAGGCAAGGGCAGAGGCAAGTTCAATGCCAAGTCCAGCTACAGTGCAAACTCCCTGAAGGAGATCGATAACCTGACGGAGGAAGAGGTCCATAAGGCCACTTTGTCAGTTTCATCAAGAGCAAAACTCCGTAACCTGGCCACGAAAGGCAAAAGCACAACTGAAGATAAGCGCGCCGTGATCAGGGAAAACTTCCTGAACTACATGGAGGGAAAGAGCAAAGCAAAGGTAGCGATAAAGAGCGCCGAAGCCAGCATTGCCTAAAAAAGAACCAGGTCGGAGGACAGCACACCCCAAAAGAGGCAAACTAAAAAGCCAAGAGGTGGGCAGATCCCGGCTACCACGACAAGTAATTCGTACAAGGATGCGGCGAGCAGCGAGAAAGTTGCGGTCGTCAATGAAGGCTACTCGGAAGCCCAGATGACGACCGAGAGGGTGGAACAAGTCCGAGCAGCGATCTCGGCGGCGCACGAGAATATCCCTGAAAATGGCCCACAAGTGCGTTTTGAGGGGTCCGTTAAGCTGACCCCCCCCCACCGCATTGATTTTTTTCTTCAAAACGCTAGCACACGATCGTTAGAGCTAGCACAACCTAGCACAAGCTGTTGTAGAGCTAGCACAGTTATAGTAACAAAAATATATCCTAGTTAGTGCGGGGGGGGGCAGGTTAACGCTAGCCCCCCCGCATGGTTTCAAGGCGCCATAAAGCTAGCACAGCTTCTTTGGAGCCAGCACAGGCTAGCACAATAAAAAAGAATGCTAGCACAACTATTCGTTTTAAAATAATAAGGCAGAAATGCGGGGGGGGGCCAAGTTAACGTTTGGGATTTTTTGGGAGTTGGCCATGAAAACTGTTATGGAAGCTTGGTAAATAGCTAGCACAACCTAACACAACCATTTTCAGATCAATCAGAGTTTTGGAACCGAAATTATTCCCTAATTTATGCAGGGGTGGGGAAAGTTAACGCTATTCCCTTTCTTGTCCGTTTTTAAGTCGCTTTAACGCTTTATTTGCGTTTGTGCTAACGCAAATAAAGCGTTAAACAGCCTAGTAAAACAAAAAAGAATGCTGGTACAAGTAGGTATACTTTCATGAGGCCATAATTGGGGGCGTGGGGGGTTTTCAACCTTCGGGGATCTTTTAGGGATTTGTCATGAGAACGGTTATAGAACCGTGGTTAGTAGCCAGCGCAACGTCAGTTTCTATTGGGACACCCTGTACTATACCTACCTACTTTTTATTTGAAGAAATAATGAGAAGTTATTTTCGTTTTTTTAATTGAAAATGTACGTTAGTTATATTAACCAATTGCCATGCTGATTTATAATCAATTATCTATTTTTTATATGCTTTAATGTGCTTACCCCTTTCCTCTAGGACTTTTTAAATACATTGTTGTAAAGTAAACATCAAATTGCTATGTCGGCATTAAATGTTTATTTAAGCCGATGCAGCCCCATAAGGAGCGTTCATTTGTTTTCTGGCTTTAGCCTGTAGCAATTTGATCCGAATATTTTCTTTTGTCTCTGTATTTTAATCAATAAAATAAATGTTTTTTAAAATACAACTTTCTGAATCGAAAATATAATTGGCGCAGTCGTTCGGATGCTCAGAGTGCTTAAGTTTCGGGAGTTGTAACAGTCGTAATCCGTCGCGAAAATTTCAAAAGACTGAAGGAAGTTCGAAAAAGTGAATTCTTCGGAAAAGTGAAATTTGGATTATCAGTGCTGCTATTAAACGTTCCAGATACTGTCCACTTCGAATTGGTTAACTGAGTAAAAGGAATAACAAGAAACAACGTGTGAAGAAAGACTACTGTTATTAGCTTTGCCTAGTAAGTACAACCTTTCTCTTTATATACATTTTGTAATTGGTGTTCCATAGTTAAGATTTTTGGATTTTTGATCCTTTGTAATTTCTAATTTTTGATTTACTGAGAAGACTTAAATTCAGATTTTTGTTCTTTTGCAATTCCAAAACGGTTTGCTGAAAAGACTGAAATCAAAAAATAAAGAGTAACAAAGAATTTACAAACCCACAACAACTTTTAATTTTTAAGAAAAAACAACGCATAAGACTGAATAATTAATTATAATTTTAATTTTAATAAAACTTTTTGATTTAGAATTTTTTAAATTTTCAAAATAATTTCTTTTAACAATTCAAAGAAATATATATGTCAGATTCTGAAGAAGAAATCGAGAATCTTTTGACTCAATTTAATTTAACTCATCTTTTCAATTCTAATTCGAGAAGTAACAACCAAAATCAAAGATCAACCGTAACAATGAGTGAAAATTTAAAATCAATTGTTCAACTGATAAAACCTTTCAGTGGCGAAAGCCAATATTTAGAATATTTCATAAGAAATATCAATGAATTTTATCAAACTTACTATACTGGTGAAAATGCTCAAAAAGAGTATGTGGTTACCGCCATAAAAGCAAAATTAATAAAGGACGCAGGAAATTTTCTTATGGCACGTCCTGATTTACAAACATGGACCGATATAAGAGAAGCGTTGAGAATTAAATATGGTGATCAATATTCTAGACATAATTTGGTACAAGAGCTTATGTATACCACTAAAACTAATAAAGAAACTATTAGGTATTGAGTATTTGGATAAACTTAAAGGTTTAGTTCAAAGAATTACATCTAAAATCATGTGCGACCCGAATTTAATGGTGATTGCAAATGTTTTAGTTGAACAAAACGAAATTATTGCTATTCAAAATCTAGTCACTAATTCGCCAACCGAATTAAGAACAATTTTAATGGTTCAAAATCCACAAACGTTGGATGCAGCTAACAAATTTGTGATAAATTATCAACTAGCTGAAAACCACATGAAATTTAGTAGAGTTACTCATTCTACTAATCAAAATCAAAATCAAAATTTTTCAAATTTCAAAAATAAAAATACGCAATTTTGTTCACAACAAA